AACTAAACCCCAAAAAAACTGCTAGCGTGTGCTACGAGGCTACTGGACTCACCCGAGGCGGCAGGGATTATATTATAGTGAAATTATGCTACCCATCACAATTGGCCGGCTATCTTTTTAGTTGTTAAAAGAAAACTAACTGCTTTCCTTTTCGTTTCCGTTAGTTGTTAACATGGCTGTATTTCCTTCGTTGACAGGAGAAGTTTGTTGATTCGTTGACAGAAGTTTGTTGAGAATATCTTCCTAGGCTGGCCAGGCGTACACGCCCCACGGCTGCTTCATTAGGCTGCTCACCACCTGTTTCCATCTGAATGATATATGTGCTTCAACCTACAGTTTAGACCTATTGTCTTATTTATGACCCTCTGTCCTGCGTGACAGTGAATACCAGCATTATCCTCACTTTAATAAGGCTTTATCAAAATCCTCAGATTAGCCAAAATTGTAATTAATTTTGTCAATAAAGATGTTAATAATAATAAGTACTCTGCTCTCACGGGTGCTTCCTCTTCTTCAGTGATTGTACCATTTTCTGGTTGTGAGTGACGTGTGAGGACACGGGGTTGTGAGTGACGTGTGAGGACCCAGTGTTGAGTGACGTGAAGACAGAAGGGAGGGGGGGGGGAGTGATAACTAGAAACAGTGCCAGGTGTTACCCAAAATTCTTTAACGCATCTTTTCTTAGTTCATTAATTAAAGTCGGAGCGCGCGGTCCAGACAGGTTAATTGGATGACTTCCGTGAAATCCTCCTCCTCCTGCCGCAGTGCTGCTCACCCCCCTCCCTGACCCCCAGTGACGCGCTCCTTGCGTCACTCCTCCTCCGAGCCTTGATTGGTGCTCGCTGTATGACGCAATAAAGGCCACCGCTCTCATTGTTGCATGCGAAATTGTGTAGGATGTGAATGGTGCGTGGAATATTACGCAGCAGATGCTTATGCCGGGAGGGGCGTATACTGACATCCCTGAGGGACAGGTGACGCAGGCGTAGACATTGTCGGCGTCAGTATAATTCACTCTTCAGGGTTTGAATAGGATCTATGAGAGTTCTAGAGCCTGGACTCTTGTCTAGATGATGAGTTACATGATTTGAGGAGGGTGAGGAAATGGTGACTCAAGAAGGGGAAATACTGAGATGTAGAGAATGAGGAAGTGTAGAGGAAGAGGAACTATAGAGGAAAAGGAAGTGTAGAGGAAGAGGAAGTGTAGAGGAAGAGGAAGTGTAGCGGAAGAGAAAGATAAATAATCCGAGGGAGGAAGGATCCTCGCCCATCCCACCACAATTCCGTAAAAGCTTATGAAACAAATAGCAGCTTATGAAATGATTTATTATAACTGTATGAAATCTCTTTTTTTTGGTCAGGTCACGCGAGGTTCCCCAACGGTCAAGGTCATGTGAGTGTTGAAGGGAGGTGGGGAGGTGGTGTCAAGGAAAGCAGTGTATGCACGTATGTACAAACACGTACACACTCACACGTTCTGAAGGCCAAAACCGTCATTAGTTTCAAAGCGTTATATGACAGAGTGCTGGGTAGACGGGAAACCACGAGTATAGCTCTCATCCTGTAACTACACTTAGGTAATTACGCGCGTGTGTGAGGCAAGAGTGTGCAGGAAGACTTGATCATATTACAAGAACTAAATAAAGACTAATCGTTAGAGATGGCTATGGAGGCTCAGCCCCAGTAAACAGGGCAGTAATGATGGAGGGAGACCATACGAAGTATATCAATGACACCATCATCTCCAGGAAACATACAGAAATACACAAAGAAGTAACCTCACGCAAAACTCGTTTCATTGGACAGACATAAACAGGACGCCAGTGGCGGCGCATTGGCGCGTCTTGAAACGTAGGGATTAAGGAATCTTAACAAGTAATTATTCCGTACTCGGTACAAAACGTATGTCAAAACAGTTTTTGGGTATGCAGCTTCAGCACGTTGCCGATTCCTCAGAAAGATGCTGGAGACGATTGAGGAAGTGTGCCCTAAAACTGGTCCCACAAACACACGAGCTGAGAGCATAGACTAAAACACAAACGAGAGTAGACTAAAACAGACAGCCTACGAGGGTAGACTGAAACACACAAACAACGAGGGTACACTAAAATAGACGAGCTGAGAGTGAAACTAAAGGCACCGAACCACTCATAATTATAGGAGAACAACAATAGGAAAGATACGACCAAAACTAATAAACTCATGAGTGGTATTGACAAACAAGGTAAAGACAGACCTAGATGAAGGAACATAATGGGGGGGGGGGGGCAGGACGAGGGGACACATGGAAGGAACACATCCACATATTCACATCCCCAGACTACCACATGTCCACACACCCAGATACCACATATTCACACACCCACATAATTGCACATTCTCACACATCCAGATCCTCACACACTTACATACCCAAACATCTACACACCTTCATAGCCACACACCTACATAGCCATACACTTATATAACCAAACATCCACATATATCTACACATACATATATCCACACCACCACACATTCACCCATATCAATGAGGTATCAAATCTAATTAAACATACATCAAAACAGATGTTTGGTGAGGGCGGAGATACATAAATGGTATATATAGTTGCTTAACCATTATCTGGGAGTTGCAGCCTATGGCGAGGCTGATCCACGTTCTCTCAGATATGGACGAGCTTCGCCGAGCGGTCACCCATTCACACATGTGACAGCCGTCAGGTGTTGGCGGGAGAAAGGCGGTAACGGGCATGACGGGAGACAGGTGTGTGGCAGGAAACAAGTGCAATTGTGACCCAGGAAGGGTGCTGGCTAGTGTGGTAACCTTGCCAGGGAAAGTCCTGACCTCGGGGATCAATAGTGATGACGCTATAATTGGTTTCGTCACGCATTCCCCTCCTTTCCCCCCCCTCCCCCTCTCTCAAGGCATCCTGACACACTAGTCACATGCATGCGCACTAGTTCCATAAGCACACACCGTCACATATGTGCACTAGTCTCATACGCACACACCATCACACAATAAAACTTGATAGTTTTTTGATACCTTTGTTTCCTTATCTCGAATCAATGTCCTTTTGTTCTTGAAGTTGCTGGTTTCAGGAATTCGTCTGTCAATTTTGTTGATTCCTGTGAGTATAAAAGTAAATGGTGATGATATCTTTTTTTCTTTTATCTTCTAGTTTTGGCATGTTTAATGCCTCTGGTCTCTCCTCGCCACTCTTGTTTTTCAGTTCCGAAAGTCATTTTGTAGCATGCCTTTGCACCTTTTCCAATTTATTAATGTGCTTCTTGAGATTTGGTCACTATACAACTGCTGCATATTCCAATTTTGGTCTCATAAAAGTCATGAACAGTTTCTTTAGTATTTCACCATCCATATAATTAAAAGCAAGTCTGAAGTTGGAAAGTGATGCATACACCGCTTTCACAATGTTCTTTATGTGTTCCTCTGTCGACAGCTTACTATCCTAAACCACCCCTAGGTCTTGTTCTTTATTAGAATTTTGCAATTCCTTTCCACATAATTTGTAAGATGTATGTGGGGTCTATTTTCTCCAATTCCATATCCAATAACATTGCTTTTATTGACATTGAATTCCATTTGCCACTTGACGTTCCAAGCACTTGTTTATCTAAATAAATTTGAAGGGCATTACAATCATCTGCATCTCCTATCTTTCATAATATCTTAGTATCATCCACAAACATGTTCATATAATGTGTGTGTGTGTGTGTGTGTGTGTATGCATGCGGCAATTATGTAACTATTTACACTTTCAAAGTGTAATTACAGGATGAAAGCTCCACTCGTGCTGTTCTGTCTTCTCAGTACTCTGTCATGTGACACTTTGAAACTATCGACAGTTTTGGCATCCACCACTGTGACAATGAATGACAACGCCATCTGTTGAGCCCCCCCCACCCCCGACCCTCATTTTCTGTGCCCGGTTGAAGGTTGTGATTGTAATTGATCCAGGTGTAGTTTCTGTCTTGCTAATCACATTTTTTTACACAGAAGTGATGTAGAGAGTGTCTTAGTCAACAGGAATCATTTCACCCAGAGCAGTCCTGAACTCAAGATGTGTTCCAACAGGAACAAGTGGCCGAGTCGGTATAGACAGAGAATTGTCTGGAGATACTTAGGGAAGTATTGTTGATTGGACTGACGTACCCCAGGATGGCTAGATCGAGTTACGAGACAGAAGTACTGGTTGCCTGTTAAGGCTTATCGTAAGCCTGTGTGGAGTTCTGCCAGTGTGTTGCTGGAGACGTCTGCCAGCGTGTTACTGGAGATATCTGCCAGCTTCTTGCTGGAGAGTAGAAGTGATGTTTTGGACACTGTTACAATACTGAGTAGGACTGGCCCATGTTTTACTGAGTAAGGTGAACTCGCCAGTGTGAGGACCATCAAAGACACTCAGGGAGGGGAAACCCGAGTGGTGTATAATAGAAGACAAAGTGGACTCGCCGGAAAAGAAGATTGCGGGAGTGTTACAGTGTCCTGTGCAAGTGACACTAGCAGTGTGATGTTATGTATATATATTAAAGAAGTACACTTGGCAAAGGTTTTGATTAGTATGGTTTACCCCCTTTTCTTTTCACAATTTATTATAAGTCAGTTACTGTCAGTTCTGGATAACTTACCTACAACTCAGGGTGGGATCATGTAACAAGAGGCACCAAGACCCCATATACAGTGTATCAAGTAAAGCCAGTTACTGGCTAAATGTGGCTGTAACAACCTTCTCACATAAATACATACACATACATAAAAAACAAGTACATGTATGTAATGTATGTGCAGTGTACATATTCTACACACACATTCTACACTACAATGTAAGTAGTAAAGAATATAGACAGCATATTACTGTGTAGTATAAACACAGTAGGATGCTGTCTATGTTTATACAATACATTACAGTATTGTATAAACGTTTATGCTTTATCAATTAATTTCTATCTTAAGGATCACTTTAATTTCAAAGATACACAAATTTGCAAGGGTTGATCTTTTAATGGCCTAATATTAACAATGGAATTTTTTTTTTCTTTCAAAACCAATTCAAGCAAGCAATATTAGCAGGTGTTTCCTGGCATCATACCTGGAGATTTAACCTCCAAACAATGAATAATTTAACTAAAATGCTGATGTATATATATATATAAGTATAACAAGCAATGAGGTAACCCCAACAGGTAAAATATAACAGGTTTACATTTTCTACAATACACAGTACTAGGATCTAGCACTAACCTTTATCACAACTAGCATAAAGCATTCTTTTGAAACTAAATATCTAGTAAATCCTAGTCATTTAAATAATAGACTACAGTATGTACAAATGTTATACAAAGAGTTAAAATGATCTGCATGGTAAAGCTATAAAGAATTTTCATGTAGAATTAATAAATAGCAAGAGCACTTCAACGTCCTATGAAAAGAGAACCGAGATTAAAATGATAGAAAATAAAGGGAAATTTGGCATAAGTTTTAAAGAGTTTTAATTTTGAAAACCATATTCCTTATGAAAATATACACTGAAAATACACTGATGTTACAGTTGACTTATTTTACAGCCTATCTATGCATTTCCAGTATCTCTTGGGAGTTTGGGGAACTGTACTCATTACTCTTCTAATAAGTAATTAATAATGTTAAAGATATATTAATAAAATAACAAGGTAACTCAGAACTGGAATGTAATGCAAATTCTGTAGACGCTGAGAGGTACTCACCTTACGCAATCTTCACTGTACAAAATAAGATGCAAGAAAGTGTTGATACAAATGAGTACAATAGCCTACATGAAAGTGATTAGGACAAGTTGCTTACTGTTAGGGATAAATTTGTCTAAATTTAAAGGCCAGGATTGCTGCATGGAATTAAAATTACACAAGCCAAGAGACAAGGGAGAAAAATATTTTTGATAAATATATAATCTGTATTTAAGTTTATTATAAAAAGTAGTCATTTTATTCTCATTAAAAATGAGCCAATAATGAGCTATAACCAACAGCCAAGTATAAATCTTAAAGAATGTGAAGTACAATATCAAGCCGACCCAATACATTATCGTCTTCAAAAGTCTAACATTTTTACTTCTCAACCTTATACCATATCAAAATTTAAAAAAAAAAGAAAAAATAAGAAAGTGAGGTGAATGAACGAACATATGTAGTTAGGCATTACAGAGTCGGGACAAACACTGATACAATCAAACAAGTTGTCACTGTTTTTCGTTCACATATGAGAAGTCAGAAGAATCATTGTTATGGAATCCGAGTTATGCTCATCAAAATTAATTCAGTGTGGGCAAAACCTGTCCTACATCAGAGACGGAACATCACGATGGTCCAGCAGAGAGCACCCTCTTAAATGATTGTTTACATACCGATTGTAAACTGAAAGTGAGCGTTATCATTTAAGTCGGCTGGGAGTGTTGACAGAAAGATGAGAATCCTAGTGTGTTCTCAACTGGTAGTCTCCATTCTGGGTGATATAACGAACCCATGGAAGTGCTTGGTATCCAGATTTCTCAATGATCTTCAGATATCTCACCTACAAAAAAAAAAAAAAAAAAGTGTTGCAAATACATACATTTATTACTAACACATTCATTACAAACCAGTGATACAAAGCATCACTGAATAAACAAACATTGTGCTACATTAGTCTTAAACTTTTAGTAAATATATTAAATAATTCATACCTGAATAACCTACAGTGCTTGAAAATTTTAATTCAAATGTTTCAGTCTTTCTTTGAATCTTTTTCCTTCCATACTCAAGTATTGTACATTTGCACTTAGTCTTTCACATTAAATAATTTCTTGGTAGTCCACATAGCTCTACTTTTTTTTTTAATTTGAATTTCAATAACTTTCCCAAACTACAGTCGTCTGAAATATTAATCCACTTATAACAAGAAAAACGAAATACATGTACATAGAAAGTACTGAATTCCTAGCCTAGCACTTTGAGACTGCCTGAAAGCTATCTTATCTATTGAAATTTCTTCCTCTTGACATTTATATTTATGATATACCGTAGATATTTGCCCTTGAAACTGTGGCTAGACATGACCCCCAACAACCTTTTGGTCCATATCATCCCTGAAATTGTCAGACTGAGTTTTTTCAATGTGTCCTTATAGCTTAAACTCTTTAATCTGAGTACTAGCCTTGTTGCACACATGTCCTTTTTATGTTACTTGTGTGCTTTCTCAAGTAAAGACTCCATAATGATGCTGCATCATCTCTTACCACCACTGCTCTTCCTTTTAATCACAAACTCAATTGGCTTCCTTTGCTTTTTGTCTGAAACAATACTGGCTTACATCCCCATCCCCAGTCACAAATATGATTCTCCAAAAACTTATCCTTCTTATCTATGGTAAGGAAATTCTTCTTGCCCTTGCCTGATGTGCCCATGCTACTGCCAGATGACATAGTTTCAAGTCCAAAATAATGCAACCCTAAGGCCAAAAACTGATGTACTGTACTAAAATTCATAGCAGCTCATAAAATTGATGCGATGTCCTGTTTTCTATGTGTGGGTCCTTGGTTAGGCCTGGGCAATTTAATTCATCATTTTAGGAACATTGTGAATGCTCAAGAGGATGGACTCAATAATGACACCTATTTAATTTATGTGCTTGCTGAAATCAGTCCTCATTCTTACTTAAAATACAAAAAATTTATTTTTAATATAATTATGCATCAACTGCTTCACATTTATGATAAGCCCAACCAGACAAAACAATTTTGACAAATGTTTAAGGTGTTTCTTTGTTTTTTTCACTCTAGCAGGCAAAGAAGATTCTGCAAGGGACCACTCAACTAAAGAGAAGTTCTCAACTAAAGAGAAGTTCTCAGAGGCACCAGTGAGTGAAAGATTCACAAAGGTTAGTGGTCAGTTCAGTTAGTTCAAAACCAAAAGGGCCCCAAGTGTCATTCCTGCACAGGATGGAGATGTTCTGGTATGTTTTCTCACACGTGATTCTGCTATCCAAAGCAATAAATAGGCACCCTTGGCCTAGCCCTAGGAGAACCTCAATAAAGCAAACATGTTTCTTGTACCTGATAATGGAAAACCACATAGCCACCTCTCAAGGATGGATGGATGGACATTGAAGGAGAAAGGCATAAAAAATAATGAAACAAAAAAGAGAAAAGCATTATATAGTACTTACCTGGATGCCTGAAGTAGTAAAATAGGGTATCTCAAAGCGCACTTGAATAGGTGGTTTGCCCTCCACATCTTCACCTTCTACGCTGGGTAATCCAAAGTGGGCCCTCATTAGGTACTCCTTGCCACCCTAACAATACAGATTTTAAGTAATGAAGTCATGAGAGTACTGTATATCTAAGTTAACCTTACAGGGACATTACTGAAAATGGAAAACTCTGCCACTAGCATTTATCTGCTTCATTATGAGAAGTGCATACAAAAAGTATTAAAACCCAACAGATTAACAATTTCTAGAAATGTATCACAAAACCATGCGAGATAATATCAAGTAGCACAAAAATAACCATAATCTAGTGCATAGCTAAGGTACAAAAATAGCCAATATATCGTAGCAAGTAAAAGATTTAACTGAATCCTCACAAGAGTTTCTAAGATTGTAATAGTCACAATCTGAACTAAGCTCAGACTCTTACAGTTATACATGCTATAACTTATTTAGAACCTGAAAGCCATTAACATGAAAAAAAACTTACTGGGAACGATTTAATTGTCCAAACAACACAATTTTTCTCAGGAGTATACTTGACAGAGCCCACAGATGTCTTGAATTTTGGAGAATCAGCATCATTGGGCACGGGAATAATAATCTCTACATTGTTGGCTGTTGAACGTCTCTTGAACTGGGATTTGGCTTTTACCATGTACTCCACTCTGCTGTGGGCATGGCGCTCAATCACAGATTCAATCCATATAAGGGGTTTCACCTGGAAATATGAGCCGATATTAATCACAGTAAGAAAACCGTTACAAACTTATACAGTAATTGTATTTCAGTTTGGGTACTGCACTACAAATGTACAGAACTCTCATAATAATAAAGCATCTGGACAAGAAATACTATAATATTCAGATTTGTTAAGAAAGCATTGCACAGTACAGCACTTTTATAACATGTGAAATTAGTTTCTACTAAGATGTGCATTACATGCAAGTGGTTGATCATTATATACAAATTTGGATGAATGTGGCAAATACAAGAACTATGGAGGCATTAGTGAATGTAAATGGCAAAGCATATGGCAGGATGAGGACTGAAACACTGTACTGTAGCACAGTACATAAAGTGTCCGAGAACCTGGTCAGCAATAAACAAAGTTGTAAGGTGGTTTCTAGAAAGGAAGAGGTTATGCGTATCAGATATTTGTACTCGGACAGCTAACAGGAAACGCACGAGTGGAAAGACTACGTGGTGTACAAGGCGATTAAGGATTTGGAAAAAGCATATGATAAAATGAGTGATGATAAAATCTACAGAGGGGGATGTACAGTGTGTGGAGCATTCATGAAGTTGGTCGTAAAGAGTTTTTAGGAGTAAAGTGCTTACAAGATTTAATGGTATAATAATTGAGTGGTCTGATATAAATGTAGACATATGCCAGATTTGTGTAATGTCCTAATGGTTATTTATGATCAGTATGGGTGAAGTGACGAGGCAGGCAAGTTACTGTTACTAGTGAAGGGTGTTAACTTAGTTTATAATAGGAATAAATGCAGTACAGTATGGGATAGAAAATTTCATGTATGCAAATGACACAATTCTCCTAGCAGAGACATTTAAATAAGTTTATTGAGATATAAATACACATAAAGGGCTGAGGTAGCTCAAGCTATTCTCACCCCATTCTAGCATAGAATTGTATATATGCTGTATAAATATATATATAGATAAGTTGAAATCTTAGTAGATATGTAGGAGAGAAGATGGCTAAATGTGATGTTCCATAGTTAAAACCAAAATAATGATATTGGAGAGAGAAGGAAACTGTAATATCTGGGTGAATACTCAATTGCTTTAAGCTGATGATAAATTTAAAAACTTGGTGTGAATAATAAAGAACAATTTCGCAAGCAAAGTTGAAAGTGAAACAAGACAGGGATGGAAAATAGCAAGTGCCATGAAAACCCTAGTTAGGCAACATGCAGTGGTATGGATCTACATGTTGTCCTAATCCTTATGTATGAACATAGAATGCTGGTATAGCAGGTCCATGAAATATCACAAGTTGGGGCAGTACAGAATGCCAATCCAAAAATAAGGAAGCATTATACAGTATAGAGGAATGTCTGCAAAGATTGAATGTCGATGTTGAACAAAGGGATTATAATAGTGATAAAAAAAGTGCAATTACCTTATGTAATATTGATGGTACTGGAACCAATTAGAACATTTAGTGCCATCCCCACCCCCCCACCCCAAAAAAAAAACTTTGTTCCATAAATCATTTTATTAATACCATACATTCATTTCCTCAAATACTGCTGGGGCACAAGGTTGTATATGGAGTGAAGGAACAATGCCCAATCATCCCACCCTGCCCCAAATTTGTGTCCAGGTCCTCTCGTTTATGAATTGGAGTCTTAACCCATAGAGACAGAGACAGATGGGTTAAGATGGTGAGGGTTTGGGGAAATTGTGGAGTAAATGTTACAATGCACATGAGAAATATTTGTGAAAATGATCAAGTGAAGTAAGTTTGTTACAGTATGAGGTGGTGAATGATATGGATATTTTTGTCCATATCAGTTCACAAACATTTCTCTATGTCTAGCCTATGAAGCAGTGGAGATATTGCGTTGGATGGTTTGCTAGTGTGGTGATGCTGGTTCTCCATGTCACTGCCAAGTGTGGGAGATAATCTTACTAGATGAATGTTATTTTGAATATCTTTAATCATTTTACCCTTTTTTTTGGCTTTTACTGTGCAATTATTTTATTTTGTAGAATAATTTACAACAAAGGAAACAGTGAAGATGTGCATGCAGGTAAAGAATACACAAATGGTAATATGCATGCATGCCTATGTTAAAACAAAAAATGCAACATTTATGCCGGAACAGTATATAAAAGTGTTGATCGTAAAGACATCACTCTGTGTGCAGCACCTCAGTTTATTCCCAGAGCTTTAGTCACTGACAACCCAGAGCTGCCACCCCAATATTAGGCCCTGGAAACTTTCTTCACCTACTAGGAACTGGGACTGATATCTGATATGTACCTCAAAGAAGCAAGGAGAGCACATGGGGTTCAGAGATCAACCCATAAAAAAAAATGAACTCTTCAAAGTTTAACATAGAAGCAAAATCTTCAACAACTTACGAAATAATGAATGAAAAAGCCACATAATCCAATCAATTGTTGGAGCAGGTAACTTCACAAGACATGACTCCCAGCTGCCACCAGATGGCAGTTCAAAACACACTAGCTCCCAGCCAGTCACTGTCAGGCTACTAATGCTGCCCCAAACCTCAAAAAGAAGAAAGCGCAGGAACAGGGAGCTACCGAGGTGTTGCAAAATGAGTGACATTTCAGTGCACTCAATACTACTTCTGTAATGGTCTCTTTTTTAGCTTCCCAGAGCTTTCTCAACAATGATGTGGAGAGGAGGACATTTCTTGTAAGAGGCCACATTAGAAATTTATAAGAGAACAATGAAAAACTGGATAAGGCTTACCTGTAGGAAAAGAAGCCAGATACCCAAGGCATAAGGGAAGAACAAAGCACATTATTGAAGCACCACACATCCCCTTTGAGGGAATGTGTGGTAAAATAACCTTTGAATCCATGAAGTGGAGGCAACAGGAATGACCGTTGGTGTGAAAAAAACAAAGGTTTATACTGTACTCTGGAAAGCTGCAAGTCTTGCTCTGAATTGGGTGAGGGATATATCATGACCCAGTTAACACATATGCAGTAGACAACTTTCCAGATGCACAGGAACTGGCTGCTTGTGCCAAACAAAACAACAGCCAGACACTCCAAACATGAGCAAGTGCTGTTATCACCCGAACACTGAAACCATCTTTACCATTAAAGAAAGGGAGCCACAGACGGAAAGGATGATCACTTAACAAACATAACTCAGGCACACAACTGGAAAAAAGTGTAAAGTACCAATTCTTGCTCAAATCATGACCAATTGCAACACCCACCACAAGCACAGAACTAACTACTGCACTCACTCACAATTACAGGCATCACATTTTACACAAAGTTCCAAGAACAATCCACCACAGGAGTAACACAAAGTGAGTCGATCCTAGGAAAGAAACTGAAAGCCTAATAGATGGGAACTCTGATGGTGTTTAACATTTCCAGTGATGACACCAGAGAAGAGAGAAACTCAAAGTATAAAGCTGAAGCAATACCAGGCAACAAGGGACACACAAGACAGATGGTCAAGTCACACATGAAGATTACTGCAGACCCCCCCCCCCCCATCCTGCCCTGGGAAGTCCTAAGGAAGTCCACAGCACACAGTGCATCAGGGGGAAGACAGTAAGTGCCCTGGGTACCCTAAGCTGTCATCTCATGGCAGAAAGGAATCTATGCCAACTATCAATTGAGTTGGGTTTCTTTTTCAATCTTTTCTAATAGAATTGTTGAGGATTTTGCTTCGCTGTTTGACTTTCCAAGCAGTTCACCTAAGTTGTGGGTATAATCCTTCATCCCCATGTGCTCCCCATACCTCTTTACAGGGACTACTGAAAGGACCAGCACAGAAAGTAATAGGAAGGAACTGTAAACCAATAACCAGTTTAACCAGGATGTTGGCAAAAGCCATCAGAGGTAAGTTGGTAAAACATCTTGAGAATAACAACTTGATAAAACAATTTGGTTTCAGATCAGCAAAATCCTATATACTAAATCTATTAAGTTTGAAGGAGTAAATAACAATTTTTTTTTTTTTAAATATTGATCAAGTAGGCTAATAAAATTTTCGGCCCTAAGCCAAGAGCTGGGACCACAGGGTAATTCAGCACTAAAGAAATGGTTTATTTGGTTGCATTTATCTGGACTTGAAAAAGCTTTCAAAAAGCTTTTGAAAGCTTCACAAACACTAATATGGAAATAAAATAGTAAAGGAGGTAATGAGGGTACATTACTGAAATGGATGGAAGACTTCTTGTCTGAAAAAAACAAACAAGAATAGTGATACAGTAACAGGAAACTTGTCAGCACAGGAAAAAGTTACTAGAGAGGGAATGGGGCACAAGGATTAATCCTATAAGTGCAGCTATCATTAACAGTGCCACTCTGCCTGTGTACATAAAAAAAAAAATCATATTTGTAGAATGCAAAATGTCAGGAAATTGAAAAAAAATTACCCGGCAAGTCTTTTCGTTTCAAACACGTTGAGTGTGCTGTGTATGTTTGGTGACTTCCCATGTAGGGTAGAGGGCTGTGATGTTTATGTTAGAAGGCTTATAGGTTTGTTGTTTTACATTAGTTTACACAAGGCATGAAATAACATGATTTATTTGACAAAAACAGCAATTAAGTAATTTCAATAGGCTAACACTATAATATGGACACCTGTATTAAATGCAAATCTGTTCCTGGTACAGCTCAAAGAATGTTTTGCAACCTACTCCTTTCCTGCTATTCTGTCTGGTAATGTTGTCTTTAAATAGATTCAAACACCGACAGGAAACACTAAATTGTGATTTGATGATAACCGCAAGCCAATTACAGTATGTGATAACTTCCCCATATAGTAAGCAATTAAAAATGAAACAATTATTCATGGTTCTAGGTTAACGCCTTACATCCATATAGATGTATCATAACCACATTTACATCATTTGTATGAAAACTGAGAGATAACTCAAATAAAAATATTATATGATAACCTCATAGATCAACATATGACAATAACTAAACTATTAAGAGATAATACTGATCCTAAACTGGTTCAGTTTGACCTAACTACAATGGAATGATTCATTTTGGAGCATTCTGAGGCATAGAGGTGTTTGTTGCACTAGAGAAAGGTATTTGATTGCAATATTTATGATCAAAATTTGCAGGTATATTTGGTTACAATTACTCTACTGTACAGCACAACTCTTATAATGGACATCATATTAACAGTCCTGACATAATGAGAGGATTCCAAGCCACTAGCACACCCCATTATAAACAACAGAGTAGCATCAGTATGGACACATTACGTGTACAAGAAAGGAAAGACAAATTAACCAAAATAACGGTGATGGGTTCTGCATAATAAAATGCGCCTTCCAGGAAGGCATCTCAGTAGCTCCCTAAAGATTTCTGCAGTGACACCTCAGGGCTATCCCTCACACATTAGATCTATCTACCTTCTACTATTGAAATAGGACAAACAGGAGCAAAAATCTGCAGGAAGCACTTCAAAGAGTGCAACAGCCGTAGTAGGGAGTTTGGTCTAAACAAGGGCGGCAGCAGGGAAGAAAGAAAGACTGATCACTGGAAAGAAAGGGAAGCTGACCGAGCCTTGCAGACCAACCCCCCCAGGAACGAGCTAGTGCCAACTGACACATCTTCCAGTGACCAGGTATTGAATACACAGCTGTGGTATAGTAACTGTACCTACATAATCACACTATATAAGCAAAAGGGAAAATTATTAAAGCATGCAACATAGTGGCTCAGGGCACTGTACTGTACTAAAATATATGATCTATGAAGCAAGACTAAAGGTTTTGGATATGTGCAAAATGGATGGCAGAAGAAAAGAGCAGATGTTTAAACCACAAATAAATTTAAAAAAGAATAAGATAAAATAAATGTAAGAGAGTAAAGCCAAGAACAAGAGCGCACAGTTGTGGGATAGGCATTCAGTTGAGGAGCGGACCTCTCCAGTGAATATTGCTCGAGCTACCTTTGACTGCACTCATTGCAGCAACGACTCAATCACCAAATACTAAACAAAATATGTTCTTTAATAAAAATAAAATAAAAAATTTGTGAAAAAGTAAGTACATCTTCTCAAGGAGGGGAATGAGACACTACAAAACAGTGTACATGAGGAGGAGAGGAAGTAATGGACTGTCATCAGCAGGAGGAACATGAAGAGTAAGACAAAGATAGCTGATGGGAAAAAGTGTGTGAAAACCCCTTTGCTGCCTTACAAGACAAATGCTGCTTTGATGAAATTATAAAACACCAATAGTAAGATGGGAAAGGCCCAAGGTGTGACTCAACTTCAACATATGACCTAAGCATTTTGTAGTAAAAATTGGAGAAAGGGTGTGTTTAATGTAATTAAATACCAAGATCTGTGCAGCACCTCAGTAGCTTCCCTAGTGATTTTTGCACTGATATTACAGGGATGTCCCCCCAACTGTCAGGTTAACATGGACAATAATATGGACAACATTAAGGATTAAACTGTAAAAAGACCAGAGATGAGGCTATTCTCAAAGTACACCCCCCATAGAAAATGTGCCCTAGTAGACCTCACCCTTGATCAGAGTGAAGCCAGAGTGCCAAGTCACAGAGGAGATGTGCTAAAGCACCATCCACATCATCACAAACTCCCACACTGTGATGAGTGCCTGCATCGGGCAAGTCAACTGGCTTGGTGAGTATTGGAACAAAGCCTCAACTAACCCAAATGTGCCGGTATACAAATCAAGCGACAGATGGGTGGAAATCACCTAACTAAACCCAAGTGACTGAAGAAGAAAGAGGTGCTGATGAAGCACTCACCCCCAGCTGTGATTACTGATTAGTAAACCCTAATAAAAATATCCATGGCAATATTGTATAGTTACTCAGTCTTGAAGTGGTTCAGGTCAAGTTGCCTTACATTCATATTGTGTTGAGTTTGAAACTCTTGAATAAAACCATGAGTATGCTTAGAAAAAAATAGCTTCCTGCAGAGTACAATATGATACAACACACTTAAGATATCCATATTATAACTTAGATTGAAAGGAAAGAACTAAAGCTCAACCTCCCTGCCCTGTTAATTTCCTGACAATTTTCTATGCTGTAATCATGTCCTCCATAACTCTTCTGTCTTCTGTTGCCATTAGGTTTAATACCTTTAGTCTTTCCTTGCAACACATCCCCCTGGGAAGGTATACATACTGGGTCATAGGTAATTAATTATTCACCCATGTTCACCCAGCAGTAATTGGGGGTCCTGGTTGTCAGCTGACTGGTATATTGTGTTCCGGGGGAAACTGATAGGGATAAAGATTAAGATGAACTATGAACATTAAGATGAAGAGCTCTAAGCTTGATATCAGAAGTAATCTACTCTACTTCATTAAAAAAGTATCAGATGAAATTTTACTGATACCAACCCAGCAAAAGTAGGCAGACACCACCAACACATTGGTACACCTCTACAACTGACCTTGTCAATGGCTGCTTACGCTACATAGTAGCCCACCTTTCAAAACCACACTGCTGGATATAATGCTATTTTATAGCATGCCATATCATGAATAAACTAATACTCACATGTGTATTCAGTCGGTATGACATGAGCTCAAATTCGCCATCAGGTGGAATGAAGGAGATGGTGCGGTCATTCTCAAATCTGCAGCATAATAGAAACCATGATCTTTTAATTCTCCTCCAATATCAAACAATATATTATAACCCTTAAAATTTGCAATATTATAATAAATTTACAGTATTATTATGCTACACTGATAGAGTATTCCCATCTCAAGAAAATGATAAGTGAACAAATCCACAAGGGCCGTGACGAGGATTCGAACCTGCGACCAAGAGCATCCCAGACGCTGCCTTAATCGACTGAGCTACGACATGGTCAAAAGGAGTCAACATAGTCCATGTCATCAACTCCTTTTGACAACTTATCAATATAAAAAAAATGATAAGTGGAACCGAAAGTTATATAAAAGACAAAGGAAAACTCCAAAATATTTTTTTAAAATATGCAAAATCAAAATTAAAACTGTGTGACTTTTTTTTTAACACCTGCCTCCATGTTCTCCATCCAAATTTCCCCTTTTTGATCATTTGTACTTATCAACTCTCAACTAAAGCCTTCTAAAATATTGTCCTTCTGAACCATCCTTGTACAATTACCATATAATAACTGCAGAAACAATTTTCAAAACGAACATCATTTACTAAACTTATAAGCCGTTGAAATTTTAACAAAACTTACCTGGAGAGTCTAACACACTGGTGGAATTTGACATCCTCTAACTCAACGCTCTTGCTCTTTCCTCGTCCTGTTGACTCAAATAGTACCTTGTCATTTAACCCTAACCGTAACTCTGGCATTCCTGAAAGGTACACACGCATTTTGATGCTCCCAACAATCTCACTTCGGAGCACATTGCCATTTGAATTTGCCTGAAAAAAAAAAAAAATTGTTGAGCAAGTACAGAAATTAGCAAATGTACCCGACGCTTATCTGTTAATGCATCTTGTTCATTAAGTGTGAGGTGTCTATGCACATTTATAAAGACCAAAATTCTGTTAGTCTTTAGGAGCCTAGCAAATTTTGTATATCTGAAAAACAATACCAGAGCAAAGGCAAAAATGCCAACTCTACAATATTTCCCAAACAGAAAATGGTAAAAAATATCAGATAGTACCCATCACACGGGGCCTCATAGCCTGGTGGATAGCGCGCAGGACTCGTAATTCTGTGGCGCGGGTTCGATTCCCGCACGAGGCAGAAACAAATGGGCAAAGTTTCTTTCACCCTGAATGCCCCTGTTACCTAGCAGTAAATAGGTACCTGGGAGTTAGTCAGCTGTCACGGGCTGCTTCCTGGGGGTGGAGGCCTGGTCGAGGACCGGGCCGCGGGGACACTAAAAAGCCCCGAAATCATCTCAAGATAACCTCAAGATAACAAGATAACATCTCTATAGAATGGCATTCAAATGTGTAGGGAATGATGCAGGGCAATACACAGTCAGCCCACACTGTCTGCTGCCCTGGGATTTGTTAAATTCCCCACCTACATGATAGGTATTTATTACAAAACTTCACTAAATACAAGGCATGTTAGATTTACTACCCACAAGTTCATGAAAGTTTTCACGATTCCTCTCGTCCACATTATTGGAGAGTGTAAACATACACTTTGTACAGTTCTGTATATTTATGATTACCTAGTAATTATGTTGAAATATGTGTTTCTGCTCCTGAGAAAGGAGCAGAAAAAAGTGAACATCAAGAGATGCAACAGGCAAAAATCTATTTGAATTTGACTGAGCCACAAATACATACCACAAAGAATTGGAATTAAAATTAGAGATAAGAAAACTGGATTGTAAAGTGCATGATTGAGCAAGTGAGGCAAATGGGTCATGACTGAAGTATAAAGAAGAGTGCAAAGTAGAACTAACAACCTAAGAGTGGATAGCCCTGAATGCACTGTAAAGATCAATAACAACATGAAACTTATGTTTTACTAAGAAAATCTGCAACAAGCATTACCTTCTAAAAAGCTTCTTGCTCTTTTAATATTGAACATCTTTTAAATTATCAAAGACTGGAAGGGCAACTTTAATTTAGTAAGACTTTCTCACTACCAATTACAGTTCAAATACTTATATTCTTCAATATTTTTAAAATCTTTGTCCTTCAAATCAATTATTTTACCAGAATTACTGTACAGTGTTCCTCTCTTTTCCTACATTAACTCAATGTAGAATATTGAATATAATACTAACCAGAAGATTAACACCCTCAATGACATCGAGGAACACTTCATTCTTGCGATACTTTATGCCTTCTGAACGCCATGACACAGCATTGGTGACAGCTATGGGAGGCCGCGGAGCTATTTCCAATTTGTGGCCCTCTTGCGTGATATATCTGGAAGAAGCATTTATAATTGTAGTCAAGAAAAATATTCATGCACTGGCTTCTTTAAGTATATACTGTTAACACCCTTTTACTGATCACGTAAACTTTGACATACAAGAACTATAAAAGGGGATGTGAGCAGAACTAAGTCGATATTTAAAAGAATTTTAATGAAATAAAGAACTACAAGGAAATTATACAGTACAGTATAAACAAAATTTCAAACACCTTTACAATATTTATGACACTTATAAAAGTTTAATCCAAAACTGAGAAAAAAGCAGAATAAAATAAAGATCAACTTAAAACAGGTATTAGAAGGCCTATACTGTATTAAGAAATGGATAGATGATGTTGCTTTATAGATTAATCAATGATTTCTCTGGTATCATAACAAATGAGTTAGCTGGTGTCATATAAAGAAAAAATCATCTAATCACTGGATTACATTTACTCCCAGCTCATGGTGTCTCTCGATCCACTTTATCCCAGTTTGCTGTAGTTGATAGTGATAAGGTTCTGAACTTCTCTTTAATCATAAAGAGTGGTTCTGAAAATTCTATATGATTCTAACAAAATTTACTGTGATTCTAACTGGTAACTGTGAGGTTTTGAAGATCCTAATTGCACACAAGAAAATGTAAAAATCAGAACTTATCCGAGACCGTCAATTAGAGAGTTGGAAAATTTGAGAGCAAAAGCAACAGACATCAGGGAAGAGACAAACCTCACTGAGTGATGCAAGGGCATAGAAGAATGTACAGCAAGATGATAGAGAAGCAACCTCCAGATGTCCTGGGTCCTGATATTAGTTATAGACATTTTGCAGAAAAATACAGTCAAGACTGCAAATCTTCAGAAATCAGGGATCATGTGGCACACAATGCATTGACTTGATTCTGCCTTCTTGGAGGTGATCTGGACAGCATAGCCTTGGAGCACAACACCAAGGACTCAGGATGAAAGAAGCAAGTTCACTCTCATGAAGCTAGAGTTGCTTGCAGATAGCTACACAGTTCAGCCACTAGAATATTCAGTGTAATTGACTCCAGAGCACACAAACCATGCCTCATCCATTAGTTCATCCCCCCCCCCCCCTCGCAAATAGCTGAACTCCTTCATCACCATGAAATGCATGTGTAATCAAAGAAAACAATCTCAAGGACAAGAGAAACAAGGTGATTGCCACCTCTGGAGAGAACAGAGTTCACAAACTCAACAACCAAAATATAATACCAACAAGAATGCTGTCTTACAAGTGCAATCCTCAACAAAATAAAACCTCCCTAAACCAGGAAAACAGCAAAGTGCAAAACATGGGCATATGACCACAATAGTGGAATAAGTGCAGGATGAAAATGGAAGACCTCTTAAATTTCACAAAAATGGCATTCCAGACCTAAACTGGAATATATTGTAGTGTGGTTTATGTATATACAGCCTGGTTGACCAGTCCATCAAACAGGAGGCCTGGTCACAGACCGGGCTGTGGGGACCATGACCCCCAGAATCATCGCAAGGTATGCGCCCAAAGACATATCTTTAAAATACTAGTACGGTATACAAATCAAGGGGCATGCAATACTATGGATTCCAGACCTAAGAAATATTGAGATACACGTAAATGGGAAGACAAATTATGGTAACCAGAAGCAATTTTGTAAAAGGGAATTAGTGGGCAAACAGAAAATTTGTTGACACCGAAAGTAAGCAGAACACAAGGCCATAGTTGTAACTCGTAAAGTACTGAAAACACCATTGCAGTAAAAACAACAAGAATCATGTCTTCATAGAGTAGTAGATAGTTCAAATATGCTCTAGAGGTAGTGTGCTGAAACCATAGTTAATCTTAAAAAATGTATAACTATACAAAGACACCAAGACACGTGCACCTGCTCTCTTTCACCGATTCCTCTTTCTCTTTATTCTGAGGCAGTATATCCACCATTACTAATTCTCTCTAAGTGTTGTTGTATTCAGTATCTGTATGCTATTTAACTAATCATGCATACAGTTCATTAATATATGACAAGGTCCCTAACTACTGTACTAGCAATCCTTCGAAACCCGATGACAACACCCGAGATGGGAACTATAATACTTACTCCTGGAGGATCTTGCCGTCAGTAGTCTGTGGGTATCCAAAATCCAACAGCTCATCCAGCAGCTCATATATGATGACAAAGTTGTCCCTGATGCTTTCTTCTTCCAATTCCTGTCAATAAATTCATGTTAGCTATATTCGAATTAATAACAGTTTCCTTATATACTATGTTTCCTTATATACTACTGTAATACTGTACATTGTTACTTTTCTCTCTTTTGATTACCTTTTTTATAGCCGACATAATTTCCCAAAAAACTAATAATCATTATGTCCAGCAACATTGGAAAGAGAACAAGAGAATCATGAGAGAACTGGAAAATTAGAAGCTCTGAATAACATTATGTCTAGTTGACACACCGGGGAGATTATCAATGAAGCCTTACTTTACTTGCACTTCAAAATGATCTACATTTCCTATATTATTTATTTGACTTGCGATCTTATTACTTGTCATTGATGAAATCTGATATATAATACCTGAAAACTTATAGAACATAACAACCCAAATATATTATAAGGCAACCAAAGAAATAATGAATATCATGAAATTGAACATTAGAAATTGAACATCAGATAAACAAAATGCTGTACTTTACAACTGATTAAAGACAAAACATTTCTGCAGGTATTTAAAACCACCTGTTCTATCATGTAGTTACTAGCTCCCTCCAACAAGAAAGGGGGTTGGGTAAGTTTTTTCCCCTTTCAAAAAACTTCTGTCAACATTCTCCACCAGTACTAACCTTAAAATATTCTTGAGCAACAGCTACGAGCTTGTGTAAGAAGGCAAACACCAGTGTGACATTGGCATTGATCCGCGTGGCTGAGACAACATATAAATTGCTTACTTTGACAAAACAGAAAGTTGCCTCCTGAGTCTGAAACATATTAATATAGTGAGGACAATTATATGTAATATGTTCTAAATACAAATTGTCACATACATTATATCGAAGCAGTTTTCTATCGTAGGATTCTACAATTTCGGTATTGTAATCTTATTATTTCTTCCAAAATCTCCTTTAACAATTCTATTTAAACTGGTGGTACAGAGGTTAAAAAGTCTTGACTCCTTTGGCCTCATAGGCCTTTTATTGGATTTAAATGGAACTAGAAAAAAATGCAGACAAAGAAAGAAGCAGAAGAAGCCATGAAAAATAATAAGGACAGAAGACAAAACAGGCTTCCCTGGAGAAGAGTCTCCCAGGTGTAGTTGAACCATGCATGCAAAGGAGACATGCAAAACCTGGTGCCTCCCTAAACAAAGCCACAAAAACCTCAAAAACCCAATCTTGCTGACAAAAAGGGAAGGTCGGAGACAGATCCTACACCAACCTCACTCTCAGACCCAAAATCAAGAGGGAAAAGGAAAGGCCTAAAGGCCATCCTAAAGGACAGTGGAAATACCACAAAAAATGGACCACCAGAATAAAGGTAAGCATCGTGGCTGCTATCAACACCAAAAAAAGCAACAGCCTGGACACTGCCACTACCAGTATCTCAATTCATTGAAAATCAGAGATACATGAACCGAAGAAAAATGGGAATCCAGATAACAAACAAGGACCCAAGGGAGCCACAGAGACTGGGCCATAAGGACATTGATCCCTGGAACCACCACAAGGTAAGGGCAGAAGCTTGCAGCAGCCCCTCATGGGAAGGCAGGAGGGCACCCCAGCATCAACAGGTGGAAAGAAGGTAGCAACTACAAAATTGCAAGAACAAAATTTCTGTACTGTATCTGCAAATTTCTGCACCTGCAAATTTTTGAAGGTACAGAAACATATTTTGAGGCCAGAACAACCTCAATGAAAATATAAACAAGACAATAACACAGGGACAAGGGAATCAGCCAGCTGGGCCATTATACAGAGAAGCAGGCAGGCAGGCTAGGCATGAAGACAGAATCTTGGCTAAATAAGCCCCAATGCCCCCTGACAATAAACAGCCAGTGAGAGAAGGCAGATGCAGTTACAGACAAAAACAATCACCTATATGATCCAAGCACACCCCTTGATAAAAAACCAGAAAGCCCCAACACATAGAAGGAGCAGAGCCAGATGTGATTGCAACACAAGCACACAGCTAACTAATCTACTGACCATCAACCTCGCAGTAGAGAATAAGTTCCGTACAATGCCCAGAAGCGGTGACTCAAAGAGTCGGCACACACAGGAGGAAACCAACCCTCTCATAGCACATAACAGGTGAGCAAGGTACACACAAACTGACTACCAAAGAAGGTAACCCTGACAAACAGTTGGAATGAAATTCAAAGCTAGGGCACATACAATGTGGATGGCATAAAAACACAATCAAGAAAGGAAAGCAAAACACTAACAGTGCAACAGCCCACAGTGGAGCTAATGTTGCAGGGTAGCCAACACTACCTTGTTGCATGCATAAAGCAGAAGATGGACCCCATCAGAGGCTCCATGCCTTTAATGGTGGTACTACAAAGGTGAGTGAGGAGGCATGCTGGGTGGTGCCCGAGGTGACTCGGGCTGCCACCCGGTGGCAGTTGTTTGACTCACTGTTAGGGTGTTCACCCTGTGGCAACTCTGGGTACCTAATTTTCTGTAAGCAGTTACTCGTTTTGTTATACTTTTTTTTTTAATTTGGGGATTTGATTAAAGCTCCCATTGTTTTTTAGAGCGACACATTCTTGTCTTGGTAGGCTAGAGGGAGGGGGCCTCAGAGGCTTGGTGCATCTTCCTAAGGTATTTCTGCACCAGCCTTTAGCTCAGGGAGCTACTGAGAGTGGGGGGGCCCCCCTCAAAAATAATAATAATAAAAAATGTCCTTGAGCAATTGTGTTTATTGGTTATACTGTATATATACAGTATAAGAAAACATTCTATAATTAGAGAAACATCTAAACATCAAACCCAATGCTGAGTTTTTTTAATATTTTCTATTATAATATCTATTATCTAATATTATTATTATTATTATTATTATTATTATTATAATACAGGTATATATAAAGGAATGAATAGTTTTCAACTTAGTTATTTTTGGTAGCAGTTTTAAATGCTTAAAGAACAGATGAAAATATTGATAAAAAATGCACAACAAAAATATTAACTATGTACTGTACTGTAGTTACTTTTCAACCCTTGATGGGGGCAAAAAGTTTCAAAGAGTGTTACAGGGAAAGGGTTAATATTAAGTACAATGTATGTGTTGTGATTGGTGTTTTATCAAAATTTAGTGCAGAAGATGTAAAAGACATGTGTTTAAGATCATGTGTACAGTACTATTTTCAGTGATCCAGTGTTCTGAGAAAGCAAAGCATTCAAACATTTAAAAAACAATAATAATAAACCACATTACCTTACTGTACTGTACCGATTTATTGTATTTATTTTTGTATTTACCTCTTGTCTTACTACCACTATTATAATATTGTCCTGGGTATTAATGCAAATCTTTAAACACTACAGAAATCAAAACAAATTCACAAAAAAATTCAGTACAACACTGAATCAATTCACCAAATTATTATTAGAAATTTCTCTAACTTAATTATTTTCTAAAACAACAAGAGACCAGGTCAGAGAGGTCGTCGACCAGGAGGCCTGGTCGACAACCGGGCCGCAGGGACGCTAAGCCCCGGAAGCACCTCAAGGTAACATACAAAACTGCACTGCCCTCATCCTTACATTACTTATCCCACTCCTGAATTCCTCAGTGCACATCAACACACAACCTTCTCTTTGAGTGAACTCCTTGATCAGGACAGATATAATGATCTTACCTGAATAATTGGTGCCATATTGCCATCATCCTCCCTCTCTAACACCATAGGCATGAACTTCTCAATAACGCCCATGTCCACATCCCCTCTGTAATTTCGGGATATCAAAACCTGAAAAAGTGTTTCAAATGTAGCTATGATTTAAATTTTGCTGTGATAAGACTAACCCCATTACCAGCAAAAGGAAACTATTTCTACAGTTCAGTGAAAATGTTCATCTCCACTCCAGGGTAACACCATACAAAACATATTTCTCTTTACATCAAAGACATTATGGAACATGATAACAAGAATTAAATTGATATGGTTAGACTGAGTAAATATACGTACATATACTGCGCGCGCGTGCGTGCGTGCGTGCGTGCATGCGTGCATACATACATACATACATACATACATACATACATACATATATATACATACATACATATATATATATATATAAGTATATATATATATATATATATATATATATATATATATATATATATATATATATATATATATATATATATATATATATGAAATAAAAACTAGTCTTAGAGAATGTAAAAAAAATAAAAAAATAAAAATTCTGAACAAGTTATTCTGCTGCTCCCAAGTTATACACATCCAATGAACCTGAATGGTTCGCTACCTACAATCAAGCAAAGTATGTATAATTGGTACAAGCACCACAAGGAATCATCAGAGACTAATGCTGAGTAGATATGTTTACAGCTCTTTTGTGACTGCCAATGATCTCATTATTATACACAAATAAAATATAGATTTAAACACCCACTGACCAGCAAACTTCTGGGTATTTTAATCAAGTTCTATAAAAAAAAATATTAATTCTATTCCATTCAACAACACTCAAGAATTGCTGTATGCAGACATAACTCAAATAGATTTCCATGTCAACCATCTGACTCGGCTAACCTTTCCCTTAACATCAAGGATGTATATTGCTGATATAGACATCTTGCCAAATATGGTCCTTTCAAGGGTTTAAGGATCTTCTACTGCATATTACACTCCTGTAAGAAAAGTAAGTTAATTTAAATAGTAAGGATATTAAGATATATACATATTAAGAATAAATTTACTGCTTTTGATTTTAATTTGCATGCATCAAAATTTATTGCACTCAAGATATAAAAAAGTAAATTCATAAATTACACAAAATCATGCTTCTATACTGCACATTATTTTAAATACAGTATTCACTAACAATGACATTTATTTAATATACTGAAAATAAAGGTACTGCACTAATTTATGTAATGTACAGACTGTTGTTATGTTGGTGAAAGCTTTTGTTTTTTGCTAATACTGGAAATGGAAATACAGTAGAAGTGTAGCAATTAGCCATATCAACTTGTGTTGCAATGTCAGCAAAATTTCCGCACACTTTTTTTTTCTTTACAAGCAGGCATAGGAGCTCTTCCTCACATAGGTAATCTGCCTTCGCTAATATAGATTTTAATACATTTCATTATGACAGACAAAATTATTGCTAGTATTTATGCAGTTCAACTAGGTAGTGTACTTTCTTTGTGTTCCATTGTCCATGAACCACCAATGATAAATAATGTCTTGGTAGTACAGTCAGGTTCATTCTCAACTCCCAATCGCAAATCCTGGGTTCAAATCCCGGGCGGGACTGAAATGGTTATCTTGAGGTGATTACGGGGCTTAGCATTCCTGTGGCCTGGTCCTCGACCAGGCCTCCTTTTTGTTACCCACCCCCCAGGAAGCAGCCTGTAGCAGCTGTCTAATTCCCAGGTACTGTACCTATTTACTGCTAAGTAACAGGAGAGTCAGGGTGAAAGAAACATTTTGCCCCCTTTGTCTCCGCCTCCACCAGGGATCGAACCCGGAACCTCAGGACTACAAATCCGAAGCGCTGTCCACCCAGCTGTCAGGCTGGTTAGGCGTATTTTCTATCATCTAATGTACCTGTTCACCTAGCAGTAAGTAGGTATCCCAGGAGATAAATCAGCTTCTTGTGGAGTTACATCCTGGGAAAAGTCAGTAATTCGACCTTTGGGGCGGACCTCGATATTTTTTTTTTTTTTTTTTTTTGAGATATATACAAGAGTTGTTACATTCTTGTACAGCCACTAGTACGCGTAGCGTTTCGGGCAAGTCCTTAATCCTATGGTCCCTGGAATACGATCCCCTGCCGCGAAGAATCGTTTTTTCATCCAAGTACACATTTTACTGTTGCGTTAAACAGAGGCTACAGTTAAGGATTTGCGCCCATTAAATCCTCCCCGGCCAGGATACGAACCCATGACAAAGCGCTCGCGGAACGCCAGGCGAGTGTCTTACCACTACACCACGGAGACTGTTCTTACCACTACACCACGGAGACTGTTAGCATTCCTGCCACGGAGACTTACCACTACACCACGGATATAAGCTTAACATGTATATATTCCCTGGCAGCATGTTTCCCTGATAAAATTAATTATTACTACTATTACCTGGCCAGTCTGTTTCCCCTCCAGGAGTATTTTCCAAATGGTAATCACAAAATATGACGATCTTGTCTCTCTTTTGTGTGTTGCATCCGTTGTTACCAAGACCCAGGAAGACTAGAAGGTCCTAAGGAAGGAAGACCTAAGAAGACTTAGAAGGTCCTAAGGAAGGAAGACCTAAGAAGAAGACTTTGAAGGTCTTCCTGGGTCTTAGAGGCAAGACACTTTCCCTGTGCCCAGTGTTGGACGAGCATCCGACACATATCTGCTGTATAACCCACCTACATTGACAGGTGCTACAGGCCGCTATCTCTCATTATATCAATAACAGTTACTCTAATTTCAACCTTGACAATTATGATAACTGCTAGAGGTGATTTAACGCAGAATAACTCACCGGAACTGGGCTTTTTTTTAATGGTTTTCGTGGGCTGATGTTTACCAATGTGAGAGGCAAGAGCAATGGATAAGTCATAATACAATTTACGATTTGAAATATTTTATTTGTCTTATTTAAATTTGATTATGTTTAATTTCTTATTTTAGTTTAAGAAAATAGTACAAATATTGCGTTTTGCATATAATATTTGAAAAGTTCGATTTCTTGGTCATAGTTATAATGTTAAATCTTTCTGTGAATCGCTAGCAATAGCATGAAACAAGTTCGATCACTTTTGCCATGCCTAGCGCCGTGGAGTATAGATGACAGACCCTCAAGCCACCAGGTGAAGTTTTCACAATATTATACAGTATTATCCTCACGATTTGTTGTCTGAGTTTTATTTTATTTTTTTAATTATATAGATAACTATTTTCAGTTAAGTAATTTAGATAACTGCATATTATATATGCAGACAACTTACAAATGAATGTCACTTATGCGCTCCATTATAGATAAAATTGTATATGTATGGTTAAATGTTGTCATGTGCCCAAAACGTAATTATTTCTCGAATGTAATCTCACAACAAATTATAAAAAAAATCATTATTAAGGAAATTATGAAACTAATAGAGTTGTATAAAAAGTTCCGTAATATGATGCATTCTGATCTTAATACTGAGATGCTCAACGTAAATGTTGATATTTTCCTATTGGAACTTATTCCAGATTGGGACGTACACATACACAATTATCAAAAATTAATCAGCTGTTACTCCTTGTTGCTGTAAGTTTGTTAAGATGTAATAAATGTGATACAGATTCTGGTGATGTCTGCGGAGCGTCTGAGCCATGTCATGTGACTTTAGTTTCACACCAAGTAATATTTTGTATACTTCTTGGACGTGTCTGATGAACCCTAGTAGATGTCTGGCGGAAGTGAAATAAATTTTTATGACACGATAGTGCACTGAAATGTATTTTTTTGTTGTATTTATATGTGATATTTGTTGTTAACTGTCCACTTTGTGATAACTGACATGTCTTGAGACGTCTGACATGTCTTGAGACGTACAAGAGTACCTGCTTAGCCGTCCTTGTCATACCAGGTGGCACAAGGGGAAGGGCTTTAAGGGGTAGGGACCTGTAGCACAGTGGTCTATGGCCTCAGCTCACACAACCTAGGGATCCAGGTTCAATTCCCGGTCAATGCCGAAAAAGGTTGGGCACGTTATCTTTTACCTGATATTTTTCTGTAAACAAGTCGTGTCAGAGTCCTCACCCTCCATTTATGATAATTTGTCTATATTAGTTTTGCCATTTTTGTGGGTGGCACACAGTTGAACTGGGCCGCATATACAAATTTTTATTTAAAAGCAGGATAAAATATCCCTAAAATTTAAAATAATTTTTGTTAAATACTGTATGTGAAGCGCTGACCTGTTAAAAAATTTAGCCACTTATTTGGAGAATTTCAGATTTGGGAGGAGTCGCTAAACATAGTTCATGCTACAAGATCTGACTCCTTCCAGTGTATTTGGATATCAAGTTCAGTACATTCAGGGACGTTTAAGAGGGACATTTAAGAGTGTACGTTATACGCTCAAAGCATTATTTTTGGTTAAAAATAATTAGTGACTTTACCCCATATAGTATTAGGATGCTGTGTTAGGTAAGTGTCGTAAGCATCTTTAATTACTGTGAAGCTTAAAATGGATTAAAGAAGCAAGTGGATCATTTCATTATAGTCAACTCTCCTATCAATATTTTAAGACATAATTTGGTATATGATAGCTTTATAAGTTTTTCATTTACATTAATTTTTTTTCCATCATTTCAGATTATACGTATGATGAGATCATGAAGTTTTTAATTTTGAGCCAGTAAAATATTGTGGATAGCCATATTAGCAAGATCGGTGTGGAAGCCCAGTAAAGCAGAAGATGACGCAACATATGCACAGTTACTCAGGTCAGAGTTATGACCGCTGGGTAGAGCGTAACTCAAACAGCTCCACACTAGGCAAGGTCCAAAAGCAATTTTGGTTTACCAAAAGTGCTGTCATACGTAAGTTTGGGAAGAAGGAAGACGAGCATGTGGTTGCTTCTGATGCTGAACTGGATGCAAAAAAGGAGCTCTTTAAGGCTATAGAATCTAGCACCAAGGATCTGCAGGTACAGTATTGGAATTTATTGTTCAGTTAAATATTAACAATGCTTATTTTTTTGTCAGTAGGCAGGGTAATAAAGTAAGTCCTTACATATAATGAAAGAAATGCATGGAAGTCATCCAAACAAAATGCACTGAAGTGCCAAATAGTGCAAGATGTGTGTGGTAAGTTTTAATACAGTGGGTACCCCCATTTTCCGAATTCTTATTTTCCTTATTCTCGGATTATCTGAACATAGGAATTTCTGGTTTTCCAGAATTCGACCCCGAGTCCTGTGGAGTTTGGGTATACCAGGCAGCAACCATTAGATTTGCTAGATTGCAACAGTATTCACAACTTTCGTGCTATCGATTCTGCTGCAGTAGATGTTTTGTTGATTGATCCCATTTCCCTGTTCCAAAGCTCATATTTCTCAGATCATCCATGGTGTTAAGTCTAGCTTGCCTTAATACTGTAGCCTTTGGTCATGTCTGTCATCTGGGGGTCTCCTCTTTGTCCTGAATCCTTGGTACTCTCTCCTCCCTGGCAAGTTCCAATGTACTTCCTTCTCCATGTGTATTTAACTTCAGGGAGCCACAAGGGGCTTGCCCAGGAAACCAGTGTAACTCCTGCTCAGGCCTCAGCAGGCAGTGAACCCATCCCTGCAAACAAGTGGCGGAGGTGGGGCCAATAAGATAGCGTCAGTTTTGAGAGAATTCGATCCTTTGTTTACATAGTTGGGTGAGTTTATTCGCCGGGTTTCAAGGCTTTGGTCTCTTTTGAACGTAGCAGTAGTTTGTTTAGACAGACATAGCAGTAGTTTGTTTAGACTTGCTGATATTCTGGTTGCCTTCTGTGAAGAGGTGGAAAAATGTCACCACTTTCTGGGCCTCAGTTAAGGAGGCCAGGTTCCAGTATTGGTTCCCAGTAGGGTTCCCAGTAGGCCTAAAGAACTCCACTGCTGTGACCTGGTAGATAGGAACCATCTGTGTATTGCTTCATGGAGGCCCCAGGACTCACCCAAAAATTGGCATATATTACAGTACATTTAATGCTGGTTTTTCTGCTTTCATTTGGTGTGCCTTTCACATTAACTAGATAATCTTTTCATAATTTTATGGGCTAAGTAAACCTCTCTGTGTGCAGACTTATCCATCCTATTTCATCCCAATAAAGTGAAAGATTTGAAAAATTTAATACTGTACTGTACTTATTAATGTGATAATTGAAGAAGAAAAAACTTGGAAAAGTAAAACGTTTGGTACTGTAGTACAGTATTGGTTTGGAGAGATGCCTGACACTCTCAGAAAGCCTTATCTCGCACTACAGTAATTACTTATTACGATCTTTTCTTCAGTTATTCAGGGTTTCAGTTTTCTGATCACTGAGGTACCAATTGAGCCAGATAATCAGGGTCGCACTGTAATTATATAATGTCCCTGTATTTAACTTTTCTGATGTGTTTGCATTTGGACATTTGTTTTCATTAAAAACATATTTTCTTCTTGATCACTTACAATAAAGATACATACATTTTATTGATCTTTACAGATATATTTATTCCATACAGGTATTGCTTGCTGATTACCAGAACAAGATATGTGTTATGGCCCAAGAAGAAAATGCACTGGGTCGTCTCTTAAAGGAATATGGGAAGCAGGACAAGACTCGAGCTGGAAAAATGATGACTGCTGTAGGCAAAAGCTTGAGCTACACTGCCCAGCAGAGAGTAGCACTCAGAAACCCCCTGGTTCGGCTGTTCCAAGAGGTTGATACTTTCCATACTCGTGCAGTCGAGGATACTGCATGCACCGTTGCAGAGATGGAGAAAATAAGAACTGAATACCGCGGTGCGCTTATGTGGATGAAGAACATCTCTCAAGATTTTAACCCAGACCAATATCACCAGTTGGAAAAATTTAGAGAAGTTCAAGGAACAGTGAAGCAAAAGAAAGCCAAGTTTGATCGTATCAAACTGAAGAGCTTGCAGAAGATTGACCTCCTTGCAGCGTCTAGATGCAACATGTTTTCTCATGCCCTTATAGTTTACCAAAATAACCTTATTACATTCTCAGACAAAACTTCTAAAACCATGAACACAGTTGCTAATAATTTTAAAGGTTATCATCCTTATGATTTTCAAGTTATAAAGGAACTTGCAGAACCCCCAGCAAAACTGAGTGATGATACTAAGGAAGAAGAAGAGGATGATGTTGACAAACTAGAAGCAGATGATGAAACATTCTTCCATGCCGAGTATCACGATGATCCGGAAACAAATAATATTAGAAGCCAAGAGAAACAGTCAACTAAGATAACCAAAAACCTAAGTAATGATCTAAATAAATCAGACAGTATGGTCAATCTTCTCGACTGCAGTGACGAGAATAAAAGCGAGGTACTAGCCTCGTTACATGAGGCAGAGAACAAGCCAGCCACACACCAAGATAATTGTGAGCAAAGTTCCCAAATAATGGATTTCTTGACAAATAATCCAGAAGTGCCTGATACAGAAAAGGATACACAACAGATGCTAAAGGAATTATTTGACAGCCCTGTCCATCAGCCACTTCCAGTATTTGGCAGTGAATTGAGTGAATGTACATCTCCAGTCAGTGCTATGGCCAACAGCTCCATCATTTCTCACGGTCTTGAGGACTTGGACACTGATTCCTTTTCCATGTTACAGAATCAGTCAAACCAGCAACCACAAAACATGTTCCTCCCATCCCAGCTTTTAGACTTTGGGATGAAAAGCTGGAAACCCCAGACAGTCCAACAGGCTACAGCACCAACTCTTCAACCCCAAACCCTTAACTCATCTTCGAACAAAACTTTGCCAGCTAATTCTTGGATGCAGCAGAAGCGTTCTCCTACGGGTACAAGCAACTTATCTAACCAAAATTTAAAGCAAGAAGTTCAAAAGTTGGATTGGTATAAAGTATTTCAGGACATTGACCCTCTAGGTGATCCAGCAAGTGCTATCTTCAACCAAGTAACAGAGGACGATAAAAAGTGTTAAGCTATATTAAGTAACTTACCTGAGAAAAGTCAGTACAGTTATAGGTGATTACAAAGGGTCTATTATTTTTTACTGAACGTTAACTTGGCTTGTCATAGCTAAGTCTTCCTAGCTCTAAATGCCTTAATATTTTTTTTATTTTTATTCATATGGAGTAATAGTTTGCTATCTGTAGCCAACTTGTTACTGTATTTAAGTTTATGTTGTCATGAAGTTACAATTTATCATTATGTTACAAGTATTATGCTAAAATAAGTCAAACAAAAGAGTACATGCATTCCACTAGTCACTTTTATGATAGAATCCCATGGTCAGTTTTTTTTCTAGTCCAGATGATGAACCTCATTGACCGTAGACAGTTTGACCACAGGTTAGACTATGGCCTCGTACACAGGCTGTAAAAGTAAGTTTAGATTCATTAGGGGAGTATTGAAACAAGTGAACAAGTTGGTAGACTGATTTTCTCTCAGGTCATCACATTTTTGTAATATTTATATACATCTTATACACCTGCAACTTTACAGCACAGTTTAGCTAACAGTCAAAAGTGTATGATAGATATTATGCATTTCTTCTATTATGATGGAAAGGATCTCTTTATTTTAGTTATACACAAATACCCTCGCCAGGAGGCTCTTCTACCGCTTTAATATATTTTTTTACATCGTATTGAATTTTTCCATTAGTTTTGGTAACCTTTAAGATTTGCCATCGTGCATATTTGTGTACATGTGTATTTGAATACAGTATACAGTACAGTGCATGGTACTGTACTACTAAAGCAAGTAACCATTGGAGAATGTCCTCTATATATCCCCATTGTTTCTCATGCCAGTTTGTTTATACTAGATTATCTATTACATGGATGGTCCTTGCTTTCACCACCTCATCCAGAGTTGTTCTTTGTCTTACACCTATCTCATTCATTAATTATTAGTTGATTTAAATTAGTAATTTATTACACCCACCCTGACTATGATATATTCAGTATGTTACGTAATCAGAGGCAGATGCAGCCCCAAACTTTTGAATACGGTGTGTTCTGAAAAGACATTCATATAGACAAATAGCTATAAATAGGGAAGGGAGGTGTTCCTGGACCACCCAAAAATCAACATATATTGTAAAAAACAAATGCTTGGGATGAAAGTAACAGGTATTTATTTAACTTGAATGATATACAGAGTTGTTACTGCTGTTTATGTGAATTGATGGTTTTTGAAGAATGAAAGTGTTTAATTACTAGAGGAGGGAGCTGTATAACTGTAAAAGGTGATGATGCAAGTACACTGGTGCACCACCAAAACTTTCAACTCTTGTCAAGCATTATTATGGAACCACCTCCTTTTTGGAATTGTAAACTTTTGGAATTGGTTCATATAGAAGAATGAGAGGCTAACATATTATTTGGAAAGTCATTTGTAAGATCAGATATTCGTAAGCGTGGGATCCCTTGCACTCCACCTCCCTCACACTATGACTAGCAGGCACAAAAATGACCAGGTAATCCACGTGCCTTTGACCTTAATCCATTACCAGAGCATATCATGACCATTGCTTCTCAACACACTATCTCCTCAGAATCTCTGCATTTATTGTGATCAGTAATTTCCTAGTAGATGTTTATAGAAAACATGGAAGTAAAATTTTTTGAAAAATTGATGAAATTGTGCAATGTATGGCAAGGTTCTACAGTGGGTAAGCTAATTTTGAGTGTTTTAGTACCAGTATCATACATGCTAAACACTAATTTATCCGTTTTAAAATGTTGACACTTGGTGTTAGTATACGTTAAATTAAATTTGATGGCAATGGCATATTATAAGTTTAAGCATATCTTTAATTTCCCAAATATCTGTATATTCTGGATAGGGTATTTGTATATTGAGTACTGTATTTCTGCATTTACTGCAGTTATGTATTTTGCAATATTTTGTGCATGAGAAAAAAAAACACGCTGGCCCTTCTATTTTTACACAAGTATTTTGGTAAAATTACTTTTGTTTTTGTTTTTTTTGGACCACCCATTCCTTTGTCTGACTGAACTGTATTGAGATATTCACCCCTGCTGTAATATGTATACCCTGTACATCTTGCGAATATTGTATTGGTGCATCGTTCATCATCCAACCACTTGGGCAGCGACGGACTTGCTTTATGCAGGTCGGCGTTCAATCCCCAACTGTCCAAGTGGTTGGACACCATCCCAAATCCTTATCCTGATCCCTTCCAAGTGCTGTATTGTCGTAATGGTTTGGTGCTTTCCCCCTGATATTTCCCTTCCCTTAGTAGCTACTGCACTAAGATATTCTTACATATTCCATTGTTCATCGTTGGTTGCAGTATTTGTTTCCTTCATGCATAGCTTATAATATTAGTGCATCGTGCAGTTTATGATGAAGCAGGAGGCTTCTGTTAATATTTTATTTACATTAGAATCTATTTATTTATATTAGAATCTAATACTGTATATAGAAATAGATTGGATGGTTTGCCTCTATTTACCTCTGGAAGCGCAAAAATCTCACATTGATAATTACTGCATTCACTCAACTCACATCCATGTTACAGCCAATCAATCTCTCGCACATTAACATTTTGGCTTCATTGTTTTTACTGTACTTATAGCTCATTATTGCTTTATTATTGTTATTTTCCTTTTCAACATTTTCCTGGAACTTTCCTCCTACTTTATCATTTGGATATACACTACTGTACTTACTGAGTCACTCTTCACTATTGTATTTCCATAGTCTTAGAGTAACTGCTGTGTGAATGTGATAGCCAAACCAGCTACCACACTGGTTTGGCATCATTAGAGTCAGGGTGGCCCTGCAATAGCCTTTCATGCTTGAAAGCAATTGAAATATCTGAGGGGAGTTTCAGCATGAAATTACCTTTATGATAGAAAAGCTCATAAGCATAGGCAGTTATAAGACTATAATATTCATGTTAACATTACCTTGGTACCCATTGGTTCAAAATCTACATGACTGAGTACCAGTCTGACCTCTGGCCAAGCAACAACATTGGCCACCCCCAAGTGGTTTTTGGCTTGTATCATGGGAATTGGTGAATGTTAAGATCTGACATTACTGTGTGTTTTAGCATAGTATGTGTTTGGAGACATGCTTTGTGGCACTTTTGAACAGCTCCCCTGTATCCAAGAACTGTCATTGCCATTTCCGTGTTCGGTGGTTTGTTCCTTGGGCATCGCTGAGTGTTAAGATCTAATATTAATGTGCAATGTATCATGGTTTTATCCTTATATCAGTAGCCTTTCTTTAACACAATGCTGATTAAAGAAATATAAAAATAACTGGCCTCCCTTATGTTTCTCTTCATTCTTCTTAATCCTCATCCTCCATATCTACCCTCTCCTCCCTAAACCCTCCCCCTTCCCCCCCTCTGCTTTCCAGCCCCTTCCCACTGGCAATGAGAAGACACCCTCCTCCCCCTCCCCCCTTGGTCCTCTGCCGATCAATTTACAAAATAAGGCAGTATTAAAGGTGGTCATGCTGAAAATAAACTTTGATTTGTTATGGAATGGGGGCAACTGGAGGCTGGCTAAGAAGTAAATCAAGAAAGTGGCCATAGGTTGAAATTTGTTACATTGCGAGGTATGTTACCAAATTTTATATTGTGATAGTAGAAGTTGAGCACATGTCACTATTGATGTGGAAACAAATTACATTTACAATTTAGATACACATGTAATTTGTTCATTTGTGGATGTAGCATGTTTAATTTTTACTCATGATGGGAGTTCCATTATATAATTTTCCACTTTATGAACTAATAATTTATGTACTGTATCATAGTTCATGTACATAAAGGTAATCACGCTTTATATTTTCAGCCAGTTCATGTTTTCTAATGTATTTCCTGTGAGTACAGTGTTATTATTTAAGCTGTGTATGTTGTATTTGGATCTGAGTTATGTTGTAGTTCTTGCTCTATATACTGTATACAAGTGTGAAAAAAAGAGAATCGAATGTCAATATCATATACAGTATAGGTGTGTGTGTGTGTATTCGCCTAGTTGTGTTTGCGGGGGTTGAGCTTTGCTCTTTCGGCCCGCCTCTCAACTGTCAATCAATTGTTTACTAACTACCTGTACTTTATTTTTTTTTTTCCCACACCACACACACCCTAGGAAGCAGCCTGTGACAGCTGACTAACTCCCAGGTACCTATTTACTGCTAGGTAACAGGGGCATTCAGGGTGAAAGAAACTTTGCCCATTTGTTTCTGCCTCGTGCGGGAATCGAACCCGCGCCACAGAATTACGAGTCTTGCGCGCTATCCACCAGGCCCTTTGTGTGTGTGTGTGTGTGTGTGTGTGTGTGTGTATGTATGTATGTATGTATGTATATATGTATGTATGTCATATCCTGTGTAGAGTATCTACATGTACAGTATACAGTACATTAAATAGTATGACTCCTAAACTCTGGCAGGTTGGGTCATGCAGTCTCCACACTGTTCTGCCTTGACTCCTTGCCACTTTTACGCTCAGTATTATCTCGGTTTTCTCACTGACCCTTTGTACTTAATCGACTTCATTTTTTCGTGTTTCAAGTTTCTTAGTCATTTATCTTGTATTTAATATTTTTGTGTTTGAATGATCTTGACATGTACACCAAAATGTTTTACTGAAAACGTATCCTGCTTTTCGTTATATTGTATGCCAGCTTGGCATCTATTTCTTTATCCTTATTAAGAATACTCTTAAGTTATATAAAATCATTGAACTGTCAAGACTTGTTTGCAAGTCCAACATCTCGTAATGTTATTTAACAGTATTAAATATTTTAATTCTCCGATTTACGTCCACTCATTTCTTTGTGCAATATCTTGACCATCTGCTTATTATTATTTTCTAGTCCACTGTTACACTACATATTAGAGGAAGAAATCTTGGCCCCATTTGTCATACAAATTACTGGTATTATGTTCAGTTTTGTGCTCTAATTACTTCCACAGATGTTTGCATGCATATAGTCATTACACTTTAAATGCAGCAACATCAGGAACATGTTTTGACTAGCGTTCAGTGTGTGATCCACATGAGCACATTACTAGATCTCTAGATGCAGCCTCGTAAGACTGTCTTTCCTGCCTAACATTAATTTGGCATTTAGGATATTTCCGTTTTATGCATCATTTATGAAACTACGATATTGGCAGTTTTGTATATAAAACGAAAAATTCAGTCTTGCTAATGAATACTGTACTGTACTGTATTACTGTGCAACATAAGGCATATTGACTAGTCATTTTTTTATATTATTATATGTATCAGTTCTTTATCTCAGACACTGTTATCTGCAGTAATGTTAGAGTTTGATATTATATTTCTAAGGTATTTTTGAAAGAAATAATCATTAAATTTGATCATAACAAACCTAAATATGCTTTTGTTTTTTTTTCAGATAAGAGGGTTGGGGGGGTAAGAGAATTCATATATAGAACATTTATTGCAGAATACATGTGTATCCCACGTAGCCGGCTGAGCACATATCACCCATCCCCTGAGTGATTGCCGTATAACCCTCCCTTCCTCCCACAATTAACCATGCAGCATATTCTCCAGTTTTAAATTGCAACTGATTTTACTATATAATTACAGCACTTTGATTTGTTTTGCAGTATAGTAGGTATTATTTTGCATACTTCCTATGCTGGTGAAAGCAAAGTGTTGCGAGTGTGTTGAAAGGTGAATTTGGATTAATGGGATTATTTATACTGTATTTGTTATTAAAACTGTCAAACTTGTATTTTACTTCATGTATG